ATCATTGGCCACCCGACGTCAAGGAAAGGTTTGCATACTTTAATCAAGTGATATCCCTAGATTGTTTGGCCAGGGATCAAGATCTCTCAAACAACACCCCAACTGCGACTAGACGCAGAAAATCCTTTGTGGTTGAGGACCCAAGATCGCGAGACGGCTCAATGGTCAGAAGGCTAGCAAACCAATGTCTACATTTGGACAAGGCGACCTGTTACAGATCAGGGTGACTTATATCGAGCATCCCACAGACATACAAGTGATCGCGTGACGAATTCCACGTGATCACACCAACCTCGACCGTGGTGTGAAGATTTCCACACCGTGATCGAACCTCGATCCCATCGCAAACACGGTCAAGTATTCCATTCACACGAGTCCACCTGGAAGAGTGCAACCCGCCCCACCGACGGGTACACAAGGTGAGAAAGGCAATCAAGAACACGGAATCGGAGTAACCCCTCCGTCAGTCGGTCGTCCGGGCGCCAGTGGAGAGTTGGGATCGACTCCTCAAAAAAGCGATCACCACTACACCACACCATTCTAGTCAACGATGCACCCAAAAAGTGGCATTTTGCTAGCCGCGAATCTATACTTCTTAAGTTTGGCGTACAATCTATGCGTGCGCATAAGTTGAAGAATCTGATGAACGTGAGTTCTGTGAACTTCCACGTCCGGCTTTCCTTTCATGGCCCGGCTACGGACGAGCACATCGTCGAAATGGCTCGGCTCGAAATCCCGCAACGATCTCAACAGATTTGTGACTCATCTGTTGAACGTTGCAGGGGCGTTACTCAGCCCTTGTGGAATCACTAGCCACGCCCACATCATATACGTCTGGGGGTGATCAATGCTGTGTACGGGATGTCCCGTTCACGCATTAGGATCTGATGGAATCCATCCATCAGACCCATGGACGAGAAGATGGTGATCTTTGACAAAGCATCAATGAATATGTCCTTTCGCGTTATCGGCATCTGAGCCGGTAATGTCGCAGCGTTCAACTTGTTGAAGGCGTGCACAATCCGCCACCCTCCTGTGGCCTTCCGCACGCAGAAGGTTGGAGAGATGTGCGGGGAAGTTGATTACCTCACATGGCCTGTGGCCAGACAATTGGCAAAGAACTTGTCGATCGCGAGTACTTGTTCACGAGGCAGTTTCGACTGCTTCATGACACAGTACCTCGGGCACAGTTTGAGCTCCATCTCATGTCGAGATCCTTTGCCCTTAAGCAAATCTTAGGGCACGGATTCAGGGAACACATACCTGAACTCGATAATATCCTTATGCAAAGGATCAGCCTAAAGCGACTCTCAGGATTGAGACGTGTGTCGCTCAATCCTATTCTTCTCATCAAGGAAACCTTCTTCCATCGATGGGATTCTGAGAAAATACTCGTTCTCATCAAACACCATTGCCGACCTCATATCAAGGACGTACTCGTCTTACGCGAGGAGTACACTGACCTGCAAACTTTGCCACTGCGCAGATCCCGTAAGAATTGGATAGGCTTAAATGTTGGCACTTGTGTAATCCCTGCAGTTAACTTCGGAGGTGCGATCAGATCAAGCGTATAAGCGTCTACGCTCTACCATCATTGACCACGACATTCAATATCACAGTCACGTCCTGGGAGGACACATCCACAGACCTCTGGGGACTCTTTCCCTCAGTGTCTCCTGAATGTGGCTGCGCAGCCACAATCAGATCATCTTCTTCTTTGGTCAACCGTCCGCTCGACTTAGAATGACCGTGTTGCCGTTTGATTGCAACCGGTTCCTTCTTTCCAGCATGCTGCCTTCCCGGCATGCATCCTTGTACCGGTTCACTCGACTTCTTCGAGTAGTAAACATTTGGCGCCGCCTGTGCCATCGCACAGTCGCCGAAAGTTTAATCCACAATGTAATGATCATCTACATTGCGATCTGAGACAGTCGTGCTAACGACCGTACCACAAGTGAGGCCATAGCACTCACTCGGACTTCACCCACACACTTGTGGGCGTTCAGAGACGTTCATTAGATGGCCAGCTGATGAACAAGCGGCAGGCATCTTGACGGATCGATGCTGCCAGCTCACCATTGGCTTGTATCTCATAAGCCAAGACAACCCTAGTATGACGTCGAACTTTTCATCCAGGTCCTCTACGATGAAAGCATCATCGTACTGTTCGTCTTCCAACGTGTAGTGGATTTCTAATATACGTTTCTTTACAGCGATTGATGCGCCTATCCGCTTGGTGCACCGCCATCCTCGTTGAGGAGGTTTCACGCTCAACAAAGTCTAGCCTTCCATCCTCAAAAGACTGGCGACGAACAAAATCGTTTAGCGCCCCAAAGTCAACAAGGGTGCGAAGTGACTAGTACTTCGTCACTTCAAGCGTCAAGATGATAAAGAACACTTCATCACCAGGTGCAGAGACACACAGTGACTGTGTGTCGGGAGCAACCTTCGTCTAGCGGTTTGCAAATTATCTTAATGTTGCTGAATCAGTAGGGCGCTCCGCCCCCTGCTGACCCCTATTATTTTTATGGCCCGCCTCGCTGTTGCGTCTTTGCAACGGCGCCAGATCCTCATCCTCCAACTTTCCCAGCTGGTGGACGGCCACTTCACTCAGTACCGCGATGTTCTGAGCGGGGGAGACTGCATGCATATGCGCAGTTTTCCAACTTGTGACAGCGATGGTATTTCAGTATTCGCTTGTCGTTGGGAGGGCGAGATTTCTCGCCATCTACCACACAGAGGTCCATTAGCTCTGGACCTCCGACCGCCGGTCGTCTCTGTCGACGATAAGGGGTCAACGTAGTGAGGGCCTGTCTCACACTTAGATCCTCCTGCTCCTCGGTGTAGATCGCTTCTGAGAGAGTCTTCAGCTCTCCGCGGAACAGGCGATCTCTGACGGGGCCATCTGAAAGTCATTGAATGAGTATTGTGATCAACACAAATTCACTCCCAGGGTTTGCTACCATGCAACTTGCAAGGTAACACACATGTTGAGCGTAAGCGTGAATTTTACGCTTGCCCTGTTTGATTTCAAGAAGCTCTGATAGAGTCCTGAACTCTGCCCTTGGCGGCTCAAACGTTTCGCTGAGTAGGGTCTTGCAGATTTGTAACGACCCAAACACATCTGGGTCGTGCAACTTAAGATTCAAGGCCCAGTTCCTGGCGTCCCTTGCCAGGTATGACCGAGCAAATGTAACTTGCATACGCTCATCGTCGATGCGACGGGACTCGATGGCACTGTCTACCTCGACGAACCATCTTAACAGGGAGTCTTCCTCGATTCCCCGATACTTGGAAATCTCTAACACAAGGGTATCCCGTCGACGCTCACGCGTCGACTCTGCGGACTGATACTGTTGCTGTCTCAGCATTTCAGTCCGCTGATGATCTTGTTGTCGCAACAAGATCACCTCTGCTTGCGACGCATCATGTTCTCGTTGCATGAACTTGCCGACGACGGAATACAGCCGTCCCTGTCCCTTGAGGACAGCATAGTCCAGACAGCTTATCCGCCAACGGTCGAGCTCATTCGACCGATTGCACTCCATTCGATATCGCTCAAACAGGAGTAGCTTTCACGTGTTCCGTGAAAGCTGTCGCCTTTTACGTCGTCCGACATGTTCATGTTGGGCGATGTGCTAGTGGTCCTTGAACGGACTACAAAGTGCTACCAGGCGTAACGGAGAACTGCTTACCTCTTACTAAACACCTGTACGAAGTTAACTCTCACTGACAACAGCGAAGGTCAGTTTCCTGCTAAGTGTAAGCACTACGCAGAGGAAGGATGAACAACTAAGGCAATACTCTAGTTGTAGGAAAAGTAAAACTGTTATTTAATACGATTAAGCCCTATAACGCTTGTTTCTCTGTTTGTCCTGACTTAATCATAAAATACAACTAAACGTATGCTGACGTCTACTCACCACCCATTACGCGTGTCTAGCAGCCATTGGTGGGTTCATATGTCCACAATATCAACCAATGAGAAGTCCCTTGGGTCATCTCAAAATATCCACTATGATTCGTGATATTGTTAAAAGAATATTCATTGTAATATCCGTTAGTATCATTTCGCCCAACGTAAGTTTCATGAAATGGGCTGCCCCGTTACACAATCTATGTATGCTATTGTGCAGATTGAAGCAGTATACAGCGCTGATACGAGCACGTATAGATCCGTAACAAGTCGAAAACCCCTTTGAGTCGAGAATGGCGGTGATGACCAGGCGACGCGCGGCATCGAAAAACGAGCGTAACAGACGAACACGGCAACAAAACCTCTCTGCCTTTGTAATTCACATGGGATCTTAGGTTTTATACTCATTCTACCAACGATGTCCTTACGCGATGAGACGCAACATGTTTTCGGTATTATTGCGTCGCTCTGACACATTTTAGATGCACTTCGAGTGACGTACCTGGTCTTCCGATCATCGCGGAGCGCTGCCTAGAAAGCTTTTTTGCGTCAACAGCGGTGCTCTATAGTTTGACAAACCACTTTTTCTGCTCTTGCGCAGGCAAGAGCAGAAGCGCTTGTGGGGGTACTGTAGGAAATAGGAGAAAGTATGGTTGATGACTTCTATATTAAAACGCGCGCCAGACGCGTTTCGGCCCCCCGCCGGGGGCCTCGTCAGTGGCTTAATCAATCTAGAAGTGAGATCTTGCTCTATCCTGCGCTCTACGACTAAGAACCTTCTAGAACTTAGTGTAACCACACCAATCATCCACTACAGCTACCAAACCTGGCAGCTGGGGCGTCGACCCGGAAAGGAGTGTCCGCTATGACATCTCCACTTCCAACAGGTACGAGCTTCGCCTCTCCTGGAGCTCGTAGCACGATGGGGTCCACACCAGACCGACGCGAGCAACGGTCGTGTAGGCGGTTTTTTCGACACTTTCCGACGACTTTAGCCGCACCGATAAAAAGTCGACGACAAAGCCTCTCGACTTTCGACACGGTCCCGTAAAAAGCACTTTGTTGCCCTTTCTCCGCTTCTAAAATGACCTCGTGGGCGGCTTTGAACGTGATCAGTCCGAGCGCCGCCCGAGACAGCCGCGCGGCGCTCGAGCACGCGACCGACGAGGCTCAGGATGCAGAGCAAACGGCCATGTACGAGCACGCGCTGCGCTGCCAGCAGCGGCACGAGCACGCCACCGCCAAGACGGTGTACTTGGCGCTCCTTCACAGCACCTATCGCGCGCCGGACCGGTTGGCCTACTTGTGCTATAAAAACCTCGCGAGTATGGAGTATGAGGTGCAATCATTCGAAGACGCGCTGCCGTCGTTCAGCAAAGCGCTGTCGCTGGACGCAACGGATGTGGTCGTGTGGTACCACATGGCTACATCCGCCGTCGAAACTGGCAAGTTGTGGCTGGCCCGCAGGACACTGGAAGAAGGGTTCAAGGTGGACGCGACGTACTGGCCGCTGGTCGAGACGCTGGCGCTCGTGCTGCACGTGCTGCGGGACGAACGCGCGTACGAGCGCGTGGCGCAGTATCTTCGAGAGCAGGACCCCAAGTGCGCTGTCGTGCGAGTGATTGACTCAGTGCGGTGGTCGGACGTTGCGCTAGAGACGGAGAGGGGGCTGAAGATGCTGACAGCGTCGCATGCTGACAAGTTGTTGCTAAGACGAGCACTTGAGAGACTGCGGCATGTGCAGGAGATTGTCGAGCGAGGGACGAAACGACGGCGAGAGCTAGAGGGAGCGAGGGAAGACAGGAGGAGGAAGAAGATGAAACGAGGGAGGACATATACGTTGCTGCAGGCGTCGTGGACGAAGCTGGGCGAGCTGCTGCTGGAAGCTTTCGACGAGATATGTCGAGACGTCGAGGCCCACGTGTTGCAGACAGAAGTGGAGATCCGAGTTGGATTTTGTGATGTTCAGGCCCAGCGTGATGCAGCTGAAGGAGCTGAAGGAGCCACGGAGAAGGTGGATAAGGATTTGAAGATATCTGAGGACCTGCCGCTGAAAGAGGGCGTGCAGCTGAAAGAGTCGGTAGAAGTCGCTGCTGGTGCGGTTGTTGAGGCTTCGTTGTTGACAGAGACTTCAGATAATGATACTCAGGACAGCGGTAAGTACACGAGCGAAGTGATGTGGGATCAGCCTAGACGACGAAAGTCTCGTCGGCACGAAAAACGGCTGTGGCAAGAGCAAGTTGCCGCGGTCAAAAGAGCTCGTGAACAAGACTTGGCATATCGCTTGCGAGCTTTTCTTCCGTCGAAAACGGGGGGTGACGATAGAAAGGCGATGCCAGAATCGGTCTTGAACGAGTGGGTCCCTCCGCTAAATGTCGAACACGTCGATGGAAAGTTTTGCATTTCAAATACGAAGAAGGAAGTGCTCACCGAAATGAAATCCTTTACGACATCTACAGGGAAGCCTACGATTCGTTCTGATCAATCGTTTCCATGGACATATTCCCGGATTCAGACAGCACAAGAGATGCCACTTCGAGCAGAAGCTGTGACAGCGAGGCAGATTGCATCTTTTATCACTGAAAACGATGGTGGGAATGTGCGGTCTAGTGTAATAGTTGACTGGGTGCGACAGTACCTCAATCAATGCGGCCAATGGTCGCTATCACACCTTGGTGGTGATGACGGAGAGATCCACAAAGTCTGTGCATGGCTGGAAAGAGCATTAGACGGAGATTTGGATATTGCCACATCAGTGACTACCGCACGGCCAAGTGTCATCAATGTTGCTGATCACTCTCTCATTCAAAATAGTCGCTTCGCGAGAAATGGATTATCACCTAGCGCTCGTCTTTTTCTGCTGGAGCTTCGTTTCGATGCGCTTCTGCAGCAGTCCATTCGTGGCCGAAGAGGACGTAAAGTAAAAACGCTGCTGGAGACCCAGCTGGCTCAAGCCGAAAGGCTTTTGTTTGAGTTCGGTTGGCTGGAAGACGCAGAAAATGCAGTCTATGGCCCTTGCAGAGGTGAGCTTTCGCGATTGCTTTGGCTTCTAGCGCGAATGCACGAGCGATGTGGAAATCGTCGAATGGCTCAGCACTACTTTGTGCAGTGCAGAGAGAAACTAGTAGGTCTCAACAACGAAGGCGACGAAAGTGCAGGTCTCCCTTTTCGACTGTATTTACCTAATCAAAGCGCAGGCCGCGCAATTACGTTGGAGCAGTTAGACGAGAACATATCAGGACTGCGGCTTTCTGACGTGTATTCTGAAGCTCGAGGCTTTTTTGAAGCTGGAAACTACGATCACGCGGCGTCGGCTTTGTTAGAGCACTTCTTCCCTTGCGATCAAGAGCCGCGCGTAACGGATTTCCTGAACGAATTTCGATCTGACGACGACGAGCTTTCTGCAGCTAGTGGAAGCGATAAGCTTTTTGAAATGATGCTCACTTCGCTTGGACAAAGCTCCATGTATTCTAACGAGGACTCGATATTGTTTTTGCTGACAACTCTGTATCATGTGATCGAGTTTTTGGATCGCTCTGCTGTGAAGAAGGAGCTCGATTTGAGCACCAATGTGTCTGATAAAGCATGCACGAATGCTTTTTCGACAATGAGCTTCTTGCTGACGCAGCTCACCCAAGATGAGCTTAGGCATCTCACAAACACTGACCACCTGTTGTTGCTACGTGGCTTATGCGTAAAATGTTTGGAGCCATCAATATTGTTTCGTTTTGATTCCCCGAATACGATTCTGTCTATGATACGTGTTGCATTGGAAGTCGATGAAGAAAGGGCATCGGAAACACACGACATTGGTGTTAGTGTGCAGCGAACGATTGGAGTAGATGCCATGGCTCGCCTATTGTACGTGATTAGATCCCTGTCAGGTGACGATTTTCGGGGCTTGTTGGCGTCAGTACCGCACCCAGCTAAGAGAAAGCTAGCGCGTCGTGACCGCGTTCGAGTAGTCGTCATTGAGCTGCTACGATTTTTGAATCGAGCCTTTCGTGATGGTGGCGAGATTGTGTTGCTATTTCCATTGCACAAGCGGTCTGCTTTGATGGACTTATGCAGCATATTGATGAAGGAAGAAGAAGAAAAGGTAGCGCAAAGTGATAGCAAAACGCCGAGGCAGATGTTTGGCAATGGAGCCATTTTGTTCTTGCAGTTGTATGAAAGCCTTTCACGGCCGAAATCAACAACGTTGCCGACGCAATTAGTAGAGCTGATACATCTCCTCCACATGAGGCTTGGGCAGTATGGCATTTGCGGCCTTGCTTACTTGTCTGACATTACTCCTGCTGGAGATTTGCGAAAGTGCTCGTGCTTTCTCGAAACATGTGCGGTGCTGCTGAGCAAGTGTGTACAACAAGGACACTTTCGGGACGCTGAAAAATGTGCAAAGACGTCAGACACGGACATTGACGGACAAGATGAGGCAGAGGCAGGTCTGAGGGAAGACGGAGTCAATTTCGAGCGTGAGCTATGCCAGTGCTATCGTTGTTTGTACGATGTGCATATATTGCCCGGATGCGATGACCACAAGACAGGGGCCACCTTTGCTTCACTCCACGACGCTAAGTTGCCTACCAAACACGAGGACGCGATGCGGCTCATTCGCTTCGCTGTACCGGTGCTTTTGGCTACAAAGGCGAAAAACAATGGGCAAAAGAAGGAACGACTGAAGTTGCTTTACGCATTGCGAGACGCTCTTTCCGACTCCGACATCGCTGCTCTCGTCGCGCAACCAGTCAATATATCTTCCTCCTTGCAAGCATACTTGGCCCCGAGAGGCCTGTTGCGGGAGGACGCTACGCCACCATTTTCACTTGATGCCGGCAGCATCTTGGAAAAAGCACCAGATGAAGAGTGCGTTAGTCATTTGTGGTATTTGCTGGGTGCCAATTACATTCTTGGGCGGGTCAAACGACGAGGGAAGCTTGAGGAGCTAATAGAATTCGAGCAACGAGTACAAGAGCGAGTGGAATGTCTGACAAAAGATGTTTTGTACTGTCACCCAGACCGAGTAGACACATGGATGCACTTGGGAAAGACGATGAAGGAATTGTATCATGCTGCAACAGATGCATTTGCAGCTACACTTGGACAAAAGCTACGAGTCCAAGCAGTCCAGTGGTATACGAGCAAGAAACTTGATTTGGACGTAGAGCCTTTGCAAGGACAATATACTCGAAGTAATTTGGACGTGTATTCATTTCAAAATGTCGTTCTGCAGTGGGGCTTGTTCAAAAGGCTGAAGTCCTGGCAAGGTAGATTTGTCGATCTACAGAAGACGGGCGGCAAGGTTTCATCTCCGGAGGATTCGAACGAGAAGATGAACGATGACGATGCCCGAGACCAGCTTTATCGAAGCGAGGCTCCTATTGAAGAGTACGCTACGATCTATATCTTCCAAGTGGTTGAGTTTGCTAGGCGTTGTTTTGATATGGCTGCGCAACTGGCCGGCGGGGCTGCTAAGAAACAGTACCCACGGCAGTTTGGCAAGCACGACAAGGCTGCCAGCGATGCCGTGGGTGACGTGAACATCCTCGATGGAGAGCTAAATAGCTCACGGCGCATCGTTCTCGAGTGTAACGAAGAGTGCGGTTTGCTGCTGTTTAATCTCTTACAAGAATTTTCGTTGATCAAGGAGATGAACGATGAACTTTTTCCGCTCGAGTGGTATTCGCGTTTGATCGACAAGACGCTAGCCTATTTTCAAAGAGGGTGGAATTTGTGCTCACTCAATGAAATTGCTCACGAAGATCATTTCCGTCTACAATACATGATTGGTAAAACGTTGAAAAAGAGACGTTGGTGTGAGCTTCGTCAACACAATCGATCTGACCCAGAGGCGCTATCAACAGCAAAAGATGTGGCAAGTTGTTACTCAAGAGCTGAGTCAGCTCGTGAAGTAGAAGACAGGGAACACGCTCTTGTCCATGCGTTCCACTCTCTACAAGCGCTGCGAATAGAGCTTACAACATGCGAAGCGCCGTCCGTGTCGGCACTCCGCTTGGTTTGCAGTCATTTCTACGAAGGGATGGAAAAAGGAGCTGAAGAAGAAGAGAATGATGGAAGTGTGGCAGGCGCCACCTCTTTCCAACAAAGCGATGAAGAGAATAGCAGACAGGAAGAGATAGCGTTGACTACTCCGGAAACTGTCGATCAATGCACCACTGCGGCTCCTGACACCAATTGTGCCAACTCTGCTAAGAAGGATGAAATATTAGCACTGCTGACGGCTGCTGAAGGTAACGATGCGGTCCGTGAGCTGAACGTCACGCTCGCACAGGGTTGGCTTGTGCTGAATATTATTGAGGCCCTGGAGTCGATTCCGGATGAGGATCGGTATTTCCATCCCTCGCGGTATAAGCTCGCGCGGATCGTGTATTGGTTGTCACCCTTTTACTCGGCTGTGGAGCAGAGCGAATACAAAGGCGACAGCATCGATGCCCTCCTCGATGCCGTGCGGGCGTACCATCGTAAAGACAAAGTCGAGGGCTTCTGTGTGGCGGCTGCACGGGCGCTGAAAGAAATGGCTCCGATTTTTGACAAACGACGTCCCCAGATTGTAGCGATTTGGTTCTCGGAGTACATTCCGATCGCGAAGAAATTTGAAGAACTGAAGCAGCGACAAATGAAGTATGACTACTACCGTCTCAAGTACTGGCGCTTTTTTATTGCGTTGCTTGAGGAAAACGCAGAGTACGGAAGGCTGAAGGAGGTGGGGACCTGGTTGCTAGCGTGCAAAGAAGATCACGATGTGATTGATATCATGCTCGGCATTCTGCTCCATGCGCGAGGTCAGGTGCTTCGACCGCGTCTACTAGAGGTGCTGGACCACGCAGAGAGCGTTGGTATTGGACCAGGAATCGACGCGGCGTCGCAGGCACATTTACTTGGCGAGGACCGTTTGGCCAGGGAAGTTCTCCAGGAACTGGCCAAAGCTTACACTTACTTCTTGGAAGTGTTGAATGCTCAGCAACGACTGACACGTGTCATGGATAACTGCGGGTTGTTGCTTGAGAAGGCTGAGCTCTCAGTAGCTGCGCTGTTTTTTGTAGGTGTGATGAAGTGCCCATCGGAGATGGTGTTGCTACAAGAGGACGCAGCGATCGCGGACCACGAATTTCGAACCAACGTCTCAGTGCTCAAGGGAGCTCTTTTTCGGCATGAATTGCCTCCCCGCATCTACGACGCCCAGGGTCAAGAAGCGTGGGAGGTTTACTCTACTGCTGCACGTTCGTTCTGTGAGAAAAAGTGGCCCGAGCGCTTGGGCAAGAGCAAGTCCGTGAAAAAGCTGTCGCGGCCAAGGACTATTGGTACTGTTACATCAGCGCTTGCCGACAGCAGTAGTAGCACTTTTGCAAGCGCAAGTGAAGCTCGACCGGATCAAGTTTGTGACTGAGAGATTGTAAGTAGTTTTGAAAGCTGTTTGAGTACTTCAGCTGCTTCTCACGATTGCAAATGTCCATGTCTGCCGTTCCACTGGTCATTGTTACTAACGCTGTAAGAATTCAGGCCCGCTGCCAAAGTCTTGTATGAGTAGTGGTGTGCATATTCCATCCATTTATCACGCAGCAAGACTACGTATTGCTCACTTTCCACGAGTCAGCGTCGTACAAATAGTCGCGGGACCCAAATTTGCAAACAACACGCCTCACTTCACTTTGCCAATGGGTGTACGCGGTCTTCTGCCAGCGCTCAAGAGCATCACACGCTGGCTTACACTGGATTGAGCTTGCCTGTTTTCAGGTACACAAATTTTGCACCATCGATAGCATGACAATGACAATCTGTTGTCGGGGACCTAGGACTGTCATGCTCGTGTATTTTGTGCGTCACACTCTCCTGTTGCACAGCCATTCGTATCGCACGCCTTGTTCAAGCGTCGAACCTGTGCTCTACTTACCCTCGTCACATCGTCTCACTCGCCTCGCTTGGGCCGTGCACAGCATCCCCGCTTTCCAATATCACCAACAGTCATTCATGCCGGTGAAAGCGGGCGTCCTAAAAACACACTCCACGATGGCTAGTCCTTTTCCATCACAACTTTGTAGTTGGATGCCCTCGTTACTTACGCCCCGCCCTATTGTACGTCTAGTTCCCAGGCCTACCCACTCCATTGGTTTATGAATGCATCCTGAGATAATACTAATGGGCTCTGCAACGCCATCTACCGCAAAAGTGTACGCCATTGCGTACACAGATCGTACAGCTGTCTGCGATTGTTACGCAATGCAAGTGGAATGTTGCGCGAATTCGCTAACTTTTTTGTGCATTCAGTATGTTGTGTGTCTAGGATGCAAATTGTAGGACTTGTTGCACGCGAGAATAAATCGTTGCTATGGCAGTATCGATCTCTCGTGATACCATGCATAAGCTATTTCATAATACCATAAATGGTGCTGCAAGTGCACATGGGCACAAGAGCACCGTGCAGTTAACGTAGTCTTACTGAAGATTGCACAAATACGCATACCAATCTTCCAAAGTAGAGCGTAACACCAGCAGACGATGTTACAAAGGCTGTTAAAGTCCAATGTGTGCGTAATGTGGTGGGCCTCAACGGCAGATTCAAGTGCACTGTAACGCTCAAGCGTCAGGAAAGACCTTCCAAATTGACGGAAAGATTCACGTGACGCTTCGTAAAGCATGAAAAGACCACAGGAACATAGGTGTACCACCAGACTAACAACACTAATGTACATAGTTACGCTTTCCATTCCGAGCTACGCAAGACTCGCTTACCTGCACATGGTGGACCTCAGAACTGGCGTACATCTCGCGATCGTGCTGAGCGAGTCTCGGGAATCAATCTAATGACGATGCATGTGCACGTAGTAGATGTGGCCACCAATACAGTAAGAAACCAGTAGGCTTATCTGCACGTAGCAGTAGATTTGGCCACCAATACAGTAAGAAACCGGTAGGTTTATCCGTCATGTGGCGATCAACATAATATATATATATATATATATAAGCAACATGTCGAGGAAAGAATGTAGACAGAAAGTCGTTGTGGTAAATAAGTTGGTATTCAGAGCACCGAGTTTGCGAAATGAGGGCCTGGATGAGTTCACTTTGATTTTGACAGCTCATGCACCGCGTGTGGTAGCCCTTGTTGATCTGCCGACTTAGACCCATCTTGAACCCGTCGACTACTTGACCTGGTCTCTACTCATGTTGTTCAAGCTTATCTATTTGCAGTGCAGACGCTGCGGTGATTCTTTTGTAAGTTAGTGCGCCCCAAAACTCAATCCAAGTCCTTCGTGCTTGCGATGACGGCGCGTCATCAAGCCATGATACAAAAAAATACGAAGTGAAATATACCAATGGAGGCACTACGGAACGCGGTGGACGTACCGCACTACGGCGGACACTGCATGCTCTGCTTAGGCAACAAGTGTTATACTCTTTTAGGTTGCGTTGTGTCGAGCGGTATGCTACATCATGGCAGAAGCGGTGGTCCCGATGTTAAAATAACCTAGTCAAATGCACCGCAGCAAAATGGTTTGTCTGGTCCAGCTGCAGCATCACGACTTTGATAGGTGTTGTTTCAGCTGCAAACCCTCCATACCTCCACATCCGGATTCGGGATCAATATCGATACCTTGTTCACGCACATTCCCATGACACTAGTGACTGTATACGCGCTTCGACAGGTAAGTAAGTATTTTAGTATGCAAGATGAGTGATGCACAATCCGTTTTCAGCTACAAGCAACGTTCAAAGAATGAGAAACGTGCAAAAATTGAGCCGCGCCCCAGCTCATCTATGAGTATGGCCATGGCCGTCGCATACGAAAAGCAGCTAGGGAATGCAAGGCGCCTGTAACTGCTTCGTCGACGAAATCTTTTCACTCGAAACCACCAGCCGCTTCGGAATGAAAATATGCAAGCGTTGTCACAAGAAAAGTGCCTCTAGTCCAAGTTGTGCTTCTCTCACAAGTGTCCAGTACATTGATATGCAGGGTGCAAAACGTCGGCACAAGCGTAAAAGTTCCTGACGCCCAGCGCGCGTATCATCATCCCCAGAGAAGTTAGAGATATGAGTTCTCTTGCAGACAATGCTTTCGTCTACAAGGTATCGTAGTAAATCAGCAACTTACTACTGGTTGGTTAAGCCTGGTGCAGCTAGTAGCGGTCATGGGACGATCCTGCCGGTTATGAGGCGTTGTCAAATGTCATTCATGCCGGACTGGCATGAAGATTTTAATGCGCATCATAGCCAATTTTAGTGATGCAATGAGTGGAAGACTCATTGCATTACTATAATTGGCTATGATGCGCATTTGTTGATTATGCTGGTGAAGGTCAGGGCGTCCTTATGCACGCGCTGAAGAGGGCTTCATAGTTTGACTGTACGCATACCTGGCTGTAAGTCGACCAGGATGTACGCTACGGAACTTTCGTGCTTTCAATCGTCAACTCGCATGTTCACTGGATTCAGGCTACTATATGATGCATTCTTATTTAAACACCAGTAGTCATGACGGTCAAGTGCTGTAACCGAAGTGTCATCGAGACAATTCCTTCTTCCATATGGGCATCCAAGCAAATGGGACGTAAGAAGAAGCAAAACGCAAAGCGATTTTCCCTGAGGTAGCCCCATCAAGAACAAGCAGTCATAAGAAGTAATTGTGAATATTGCAAGAAGTGTTTTGATGCATACTTCACGACACTCGCCGAGAAGTGATTTGGGCAAATACGCAGGGACAAAATCCGTTCACGTTCTCAGCTCAGGTTTTATAGATTTCATCCTACTACCTTATACCTGGATGTGGATACTTGCAATCGCTTCATTGAAAAGTATGTATGATATCTGTAGCTTTCGCTTCTCTCGATTCCATGACCTCGCAAAAAAGTAGCCACCGGCACTTAAGCAGTACAGAAGGTAACCTAGCGCTGTACACGTCCGAAATTGAGGCCAACGGCACTGGCTTGTCGCTCGAAAACGTCCATTTTGCAATGGAATCTGATAAGGCTGACCTTTGGATGGAAAAATATTTTGCCGCTTCTGATCACGATTATGTAAGCTATGCCTGTCGAGGTTCGACAGCAGGTATATTCCAGCGTTTGCATGAACATGCCAGAAGAGCATAGACTTGATTGCGACCGAAATAGCTCTAACTACATTTATTATCTCTACGTACAGCCCGTACAGGCTGCGCGTGTAGCTTTCTTTCTCATCTACTATCAGTCCTGTTTTGAGGGCATAGCTAGTCGCCAACGTTCCTCAATAAACCTCGCCTTCAAGAACAAATAAATTGTCTCAAATCTCCTATATCTCGTACATATCCTATTCAACTATTCATCTATTTGGTATCAGTAAAAGTCAATTCTATTGCAACTCCGCGAATATAATTACGTTTGCTGGTTAACGGTCTTTCGCACACACCGACATTGGCTGGTCGAGTCTTTGTCTCTTCACTCGTTTGTCGTCATCCGTCATTTTTTTTGCGCGTCGAGTCTTCGTTTGTCAAATCTCCACTTTTTGACTCTCCAGTATTTATTTGATTGACCAGTCTTCGTCAATCACCACTCGTAGTGTTGATAACGGCGAGTTTATCTTCTCTTTGTTCCTTTTAGTGGACTCGGATTCCTCGTCTTTTAGCCTAACGTAGAAGCATGCACGTGCATAGTTTAAAACTATAATAGACATTTCTAGTCCATACGCGGTCGTGTTGTAGGGTACAGCACTTCGTCCTCAGCAAGGGGCTGGAAAAATTCGGACGGAACGACCCGCACATTTCGACGTGAGCCCTTTTTCGAAAGCGATCCTCTAAGTCTTTTTTATTCTAGACCAAAAGTGCAATATAGCATTCAAGACGTTCGTTTTGGGACAACAGATTATGGTTGTGTAAAGGTGTCAGATTATTGTCATTATTTGACATGTATAAAGTACTAAAGTACCGCAGAATACATCGTACGACACGCGATACGTTGCTTCATTCAAGAAGAAACTCGCAGCTTTTGTGGGTCCTTGTATTGGTCATGCAATATCCCTTACACGTATCAGAATGCGCGTGTTTGTGAATGTGTGTCGAAGCATCATGTGTATAATAGCTTGGAAGCACGCGCAGTTTGGCTTGCTTTGCTGGCACAGGACGAACACCAGGTGCTCGTCAGCTAGTCTGTCTTGCAGTTGAGTTCATTTCAACGTACACAAGGACGCAACAAGTATCAATTGCGCATATTGGACTGGCAGAAACGGTACGATGAGCATGTGGAGCCGACTCAAACATGTGCTATATGGTAGTTATGACGCCTTTAGTATTTTTCTAGATAATATTGCAAATGTAGGTACTTCGATCCCGGTGACGACTTTGTAGCCGTGCACGATAATGTATATGCGTTCATGAACTAATATCAGGATTCGCCATGCTGCATCGTATCGCATCATGGT